TTTGTATCACTTGAATGATAAACATTACTGATATCTTTCGTCATAGAATACGAATTAAGGGACAGTTTTAAAGGTATTCATCATTCGCTGTATATATTTAAACATTTCTGAATACTATTAACCCTTGTTTATATATTTTTGTACACTTTTGGAAAAGTTTGAAACATTTCTGGTTTCATTTATAAATATTTAAAGCATAAATCTTCAAGAACCTCAGTACTGTGGCCATATTTCCAACATATTCTGAATTAATTTCCATTTATTGAGATTTTTTTACTCAAATTTAAACCCTTTCCGAATATTTAACTACATTTAATATACCTTAAAATTTATATATTGCAGAGTTTTCATCTCATGTTTTCCTTTAATTAAAAGGTAGAAAAATCTGTCTCACATTTACATTATATTTCTCCCATTAAAGTGCAGACCAATTGTTTAATGTTGAATGTTGTTTGTTGATTTTGGGGGCGTGCCCCAGGGGGCGTATTGCGCATCGTTGCACGTTGCAGCAGGCAGCGACAGCGGCAGCGGCAGTTGCAGTGGCAAAAACAGCTGCAGGGCCAAGACGTATGGTTTATTGATGTAATTTGACCGCACACACAATAAAACGAGTTGTAATTGCGTCGAGATCTCTATCTATATATATATTATATGCATTATACGATATCCCCCCTTAGGATAACTATATACATACACATATTTCCATCCATCCTCCATTTGAACATCGCTTTTCATTGCGTGTGAATGATATTTTGTTGGTGAGGGGAAAATGCCATTCCACCCATTCTCGAATGATATCTATCCTACGACTCGACTCCACTAATAAAAGAAAATTTACAAATTGCGTGAGGCAAAGAAAAACAAAAACAACTAGGAAAACCCCCATTCCCGCCATCCCGTTCCGAGGGGAGGCTTTTCTGTTGAACTAATTAAAAATCAGACTTTTTAATTAAATGATTAAAATCCAAGAGAGAAGAGAGAAGAGAGAGAGGGAGAGAGAGAAGGTTTAACCGCAGACAGAGAAAACCACAAGCGAATGATGATGACCAGACCAGACCAGACCATTCATTCATTTGGCCGAACGGCCATCAGTCATTCAATCATTCATTCATTTATGCATCCTCGAGAGTTCTTGGAAAAAAAAAACATATTCTCACACAATTTTCGCGCGCGCATTTTCTTTTGAGGAAATGGTAAACCAATGGGAAGGCATTCCCTCCCATTCGTCACACAATTGCCGCCGCATATATGGCGGGAAAACTAATCAGCCAGCGAGGGGCTTGGGGCTTGGGGCGAGGGGGAAATGCTGGGGAAAATCTATTCCCCATTTGAGATCTTATATGGCATTGATTCTATGGCTGAACATTTGAATTTTCAGCAAGAGTTGCAGAATCGAGTTGACATGTGGCGGACTCAGCGGATCCGTCAAATGGTTCGATGGATCTCGTTGGCTGGAAAGGATGGAAGGAATAGGATGGATAGATGGACGGAAGGTTCGATGGATAGATGAATAGATGGATGGTTCGTTGGTTCGCTCAAGTGGAGAGAACTCTGTCTTGGATTGGCATTTGGTTCGCTTGCTTAATTGCCAGCTCACGTTTCGGCCTGGTCTCTGGTCGCTGGTCTCGTCTGTGCCTTTGGCTCTCGTTCTGTTTCTGTTTCTGGTTTGATTTTCCATTCTGTCGCATGACATTTGCGCCCCTCCCATCCTGTCTCTATCTCTCTTCTGAATGCAAGACAAATCGCTCTGCTATAGCCATAGTTGTGTTTGTTGTTGTTGCAACAATGGGTAATGGCATTGAGACCCGGATAATCAGCGATATTCCAACTGCAGACGACGAAAACGGTGCAACTCCACGCGAGGCAAAGGCAATGCAAATGCCAATGAGGCAGACACACATGGAGGCAGGCAGCGCGGCAGACAGATGGATAGAGGAGGCAAGACCCTAGAGATGGTGCATACATGTCATCAGCGTGCCACGGGCTAGGTAGTACTTTCTTAAATCAAATACAAGTAAAACTATTTTCACATTTTTGTCTTTTATTTCATCCAATATAGATTCGCGCAAGCTTTATCAACGCTTTATCCAGCTGCGGCCTGATGATGGATCTCGCTACATGTGATGGACAACCTCACCAAAGACGATGCCAACACTGGCCCTATTTATAACGAGATGATCTTGAAGAGCGAGGGTCTGCTGCACGAGAAAATGGAAGCTCAACATGTTTTGATGCCACACATCACCAGAGTATTCCCTATGGATGGGTACTATGTATTTCTAGATATATATATATATTTAATTTCTCGACTTACTCTATATTGTTCTTCTATATATTATTACTATTTGTGTTCCTATGCCATCCGCATAATTCGGTGCCACAAATGATCCGTGCATTCCTTATGGATGCAAGTTCCATCCGACTGTTTTGTTTTACGGAATGTATTTCTTGGGAATAATATTATTTTGTGTGTATTGTGTAGTGTCTATGTTTGAGTACTGAATTATTCAATTGAAGTATATTCCATTTGAGTGTATGTCTACATCTTTCGCACAGCCTACTGTTCTAATAAGGTTTTCAAAGCTGATATTATTTGGGTATGAGTCGTATTTTTATGGGACTTGGTTATATTATTAAGAGATCAGGTCTAGTATTATCCTTTTATGTTTCTTGTATTAGCATAAAATGAATATGGATATTTTTAGAGTTTTTCCTGGTATTTTTTTGTTTTATTCTGGCATTACCATTATGTTTCAGTATTTTCTGGTATTTTTTGGTATTATAATCGAGGCTAGCCACCTCTCCATTTTCTCTCTCTCTCTCTCAAACCCCGAAAACACGAGTCCATCACTAACGCTTTTCATTTTCCACCTTCGAGGCAAGCACGTGTTGTTGGCCTTGGCCATTGGCAGTGTCTTCGTCGATGGATTCCAATAGACATAGACACATATACAAGCACTCGTATTGTAGACACACAGATACTCCCATGGATCGACGAAGACGACGACGACGACGACGATTATCAAAACGCCTCGAGGCAACGTGGGTGGGCGGCAGCACCCAAAGACATTTCGATGCCGATGCCAAAACGTGTTTAGTTTTTAATTGCAAATTATCTAATAGAAAAGGGGTGGTGGCATGCGGCAGCAGGCATATGCGGCCGTGCAACATTGAAAAACAAAGTTCAAACAAAACGGCAACAACAATGTGTGCGCCGCTGTTGCTGCCGCTGCTGCTGCAGCTCCTCTTTTTCCCTCCGCTGAATGGCTGACTTTCTGACTGACAGACAGACAGGCAGACAGACGAGTCATGCCACACATCAATTCCACATGAGTTGCAAGCTGAAGTCCCGCCTCTACCCCATCACCCCGCCACTGCACTGCTACACTGCTGCATTCCTCCAACCATCCATCCGTCCAACCATCCATCCATCCATCCCAATCCACAGGCATGGCAACAACCATGTCCAAGTCCACGTTCACGTCCCGTTTTGGCTGCGGTTGCAAGTTGGGCCACAATTTTTATGATCGCAGTTTGCATTTTCACATTGTTGCCACGTTGCAACGTTGCTGTTGTCGCTGTTGCTGTTGCTGCACTTCTGTTGCTGCCTCTGTATGTTGCATTTGCCGCTTGCTGCTTTAAATGTAGCGTGCAAAACTTCAGTTTTAATTTTAAACGCATGCATTGGACCGCCACCTGGATATACCCTCAAATACCCTTTGCAAAGGGTATTCAAATTTTGAGAGAAGAAAGTCTTACGGGATTTATAAGAGAGAGTATCTCTCCCTGAGCATCGATCGATCTGTTGTACCTTCAGGAATACTCTAAAGAAGGAGATCTCCTGTGTTTTCAGTGCTCGATAGTTCGATTTTATATCGATATTTCAATGCAACATTCCTGCATATTTTATTTATATTTCAATGAAATATTCCTGGTATATTTTAAGCCTTGAAATCATATTCTGTTGATGACTGTCGTTTTTCAATATCATACAGAAACCATAGAAGGTATTGTGTCTGTTGAGAAAGATGACAACCCTGCGACAGCTGTGGTGTTGTTCCAGTATGTACACACCACACACCTCTGAAATTTGTACTGCTTGACAGTTTAAGTTTATGTCATGTTGTCTCAAAGAATTATCAATATTTCGGATTCTTTTCAAAGAATTCGTACTTTTAGGCACCATCACCATACAGGATGTACACGATTTACAGGGTATCTGCAAATCCGACCACAAATGCCAACATTTGTTCCTGCATTTTTGTTGCTTCTGCTGTTGAAAGTTTGCTCGTTGTGTGCCCCCCTCTCGTTTGCTGTTTGCCCAAGCATTTTGTCAAGCGCACAACAAATTGGGGCAGCAACCAGAGAGGGGCCTGCGGGGGAAGCTGTTTGGTGGAATGAAGGTAGAGGCTCTTAGCAAGGTTGTGGGCGTGGTCGTCATGGTTGCAGGCGGCTGCTGCTGCCTGCCTGCCGCTGCAGGTGTTGACGGCGGGGCCTCTGCTGGCAATACAAAAATTTTTCGCCGCACAGGCAAATATTTTTCTGTCTCAATTTTTGTTGCACTGTCTCTATCTATCTTGTTGCATGTCCCAGGGCGCACACAAAAATCGCCCCGATTTTTACATAAAACTCTTGAAAATGTCATAAATTTTCAGTGACACTCATGGCGTATACGCAATAAAAATTGCAACAAGTCGAGGGGCAACAACAGCACACGAAAAATAAACAAATGTGCACTATTCGCAATATACTACGTATATATTTTGGACGCCCAAAACAAAAATCCCATAAAAACCAAAGAAATAGAAACGATATATAGCTATAGAGCCACGTGCATCGATGGGGCATCGCGTGTTGTCAGCACAATTACTCAGAGAATGCGAGTCTGAAAGCTTCCTAAATTTTTATCCATTTTCCAATCCTAAATCAACTATGCCCATTTCAATTCCATTCCCCTATCTTTTCGGCTATTGCTTTAACAATTAATACACATTTTCGTCTTGTATTTGTATATATTCGATATAATATTCATTCCTCAATAAAGAAAGAATTTCTCGACGATTTATCCAGACGCCTCATGATGATGGATCTCGCTACATGTGATGGACAACCTCACCAAAGACGATGCCAACACTGGCCCTATTTATAACGAGATGATCTTGAGGAGCGAGGGTCTGCTGCACGAGAAAATGGAAGCTCAACATGTTTTGATGCCACACATCACCGGAGTATTCCCTATGGATGGGTATTATGTATTTCTAGATATATATATTTAATTTCTCGACTTACTCTATATTGTTCTGCTATATATTATTACTATTTGTGTTCCAGTGCCATCCGCATAACTCGATGCCACAAATGATCCGTGCATTCCTTATGGATGCAAGTTCCATCCGACTTTTTTGTTTTACGGAATGTATTTCTTGGGAATAATATTATTTTGTGTGTATTCTGTAGGGTCTATGTTTGAGTACTGAAGAATTGTAGTACTTTTAATTTTACATTTGTCCCACTGCCTACTGTTCCCAGAAAGTTTTCATAGCTTCTATAATTTTGTAGTAGTATTTGTATGGGTAGTATTTTTATGGGATCATTGTTGTATTATTATCAGGTCTAGTATTATTCTGGTATGTGTCTCATGTTAGCTTTGGATGAATATTTTTCTAGAATTTTCAATGTTACTTTTTGGTAATGTTCTGGTATTTTTGTAACATCCCCTAACAAAATTACCATAAATACATGCAATAACGTTTAGTATTGCATTCCAGTATCTGTATATCAATACACGATAGTAAATTTACTCTACATCATTATACATATTTCCCCCTCCTTCCGTGCTATCTGTAACCATATTTTTCCCACATATCATTCTCACTTTCCCTGCATAAACGTATTAACCATCAAGCACTTATAGCCGTAGCCATCCGAAGCGTACATTCCTGTTCTAATCTACCGCTTAGTCGCTTAGTTTGCATCAAAGAGCGAACACACAGGGAGAGATACCATCTCTCTCTTTCTGTCTCTGCGATTCTCCAAATGAGAATCATTAGGATACCATTTGATGTCTAGTCATGGTGATCAGAGAGCTCTGGTGTCTGTCTATAAGGCTGATTACCCGCCACTAAGCCTAACGACAAAGTTATTAGAGACTCTTTTTTTTTATTGAACGTTCTTTATGGGTACGAGAGTATCCGAGGGTATTTTCCACTAGCCATCAACGATCTCTCTTTACCCATAATTATGTCAATAATTATGGAAAGGTGATGCCTCTAATGACTCTCTATGATCTCTCCCCTTCTTCCCCTACTCCACATTTCCCCCTCAAATACTCGGTACTCGCATTTCTCTCCCCATACCCTTTGCCGCTTTATCTATTGTGCTGGGAAATGGCTGGGAAATGTTTGTTTGATTTCGTTGTTTGTTTGTCGGTTTGCTGTCGGTTTGTTGCTTTGGCTTTACACATGTTTGCACTGACTTTTGCGTCTTTGAGGGATTTGCGCTTGTGCTCCGCTGACACCTTTGAGCCTTTGGCCAAAGGGAGTTTCAAGCCAGAAGGGAGTTCCGATGCTGCAAAAAACGGCACAAAGTAAGTGGTTTTGTTTTTACTCCGCCTTTGGCTTTGCCTTTGGCTGCTGCTAATGCCGCTGCTGCTGCTTCTGGTACGAGTTGTGCTGCTTTGAGTTTGGTTTTTACTCAATTTGATATTCGAAAAGCTAAAGGACTGTGTTTAAGAGAGCATTGGACCATCTTCCGACCAAAGGTGGTACCCTAAAAATGTCTTAATTACCTTATGGTAACACTTTTTCCATGGTTCAAAATGGGAAATATCTGCCCTGGGAATGGTTATACCTTTAACTAGATGTATGTATCTATAATCCAATGACCACTCTCTCGGAAAAGGGGAGAAGATTCAATAATAATCTCTAAGAATATTGTCATTAGAACTCCCTAACTATTGCAATGAGAATGAGAAGAAGCGGGTCCTCTTCTGATAAAATATACAACAAATTGTATATGAGTGAAATCAGTGAAAAAATATACACGATAAACTAGGGTTCTTCGAGTTTTATTTATACCCAAGGGCTAAGAGTTTTTACAGATAGAAGGAACGATAAGATACCTCCACAGAACTCATACATTTTTAAAGTCAAAACCACTTTACATACTACCTAGCATACCCTTCTTTATACAGGGTATAACCAAGCATCAGCAGAGGAGGGAGAATAGTTCGTTGTCAAACATTTGCATTTCGCTTGAAATTTGTGCAATTGCAGCAAACGATGGGGAGCGATGGGGAGCAGCGATGGAGCAATGCAGGGGCACAGATGGTGGGGAGCTAGGTGAAGGGGAAGGGCCAGTGGTGTGGCCAGTGGCAATTTGCAGACGGCAAATTAATGCAAGCGCATTTATTTTTGTCACAAATGCAAACAACAGCAACAGCAACAACGGCAACAACAGCAGCAACAACGAATGCAACATCGTCTGGCGCTGCCAAAAGCGAAAGCAGCGCCAAGAAATAAATAACGCAAATAAATAAGAAAAGTGCCCCAGGGAATTTTCTTACACGATAGATAGATGGAGAGAGAAAGAGAGCGAGAGAAGAGCTTAAGTAAAGAAGGAAAGACAAAGAAAAAGCTAAAATTAAAGATAGAAAAATAAAAAAATCAGGAAAGATAGCTATAAAGAAAGCAACGACAGAATCCAAGAGAACGAAATAATGTCCCAGGGAGCCATAGAATAAGTTCGGGGCATGGGAATTCCCCCCTCTTTCCTGCCTCCCAAGGTTTTCCTGCTGCAACATTAAATAATGAAAAATGTTGGAAACAATTCTAGCAACAACTAATGACAGTTGCAGAGACGCCTTTTAACACCCGTAATGACAATGAGATGTTGCACTGTTGCTGCTGCTGCTGCTGCTTCACTGCTGATGTTGCATCTGCAACATTGCCAATTAATTTCCCCCACTGGAGTCTTTTAACTGCTGACTAACTGCAGAGAGGGGATTCGGATGCAGATGAGGGTTGAAGAAAGAAAAGATTGGTGTCCGAAGGTAGGGGATGCGGCAGCAACACAGCCACACTCTTAAAGGTCGATTGTAATTAGAAATATAAGTAGTATAATCAGAAGAAGAATAGAATATAATATAAGAATAAGAAGTATAAGAATCAAAGTATATTAAAGGGATATTTCTAAAGATTTCGTCGATTATCTTTTAGGCTTAAGAATGCTTTTTCCTATGTAAGACGTAGGATCCGGTCCTATAATCTAAGAGCTCTCGATTTATGCACTGACTTTTAGCTAAAAGAAGCAACCAGTTAAAGTTTTAGTCTTATCTCCAGAATTACAAATAAATATTCCATAAGATCCTAAAATTCATACTCTTCTTTTTCCTAAAAATCGAAATGCCCCACTTTCAAGGGTATTTAAGACCGATGCGCAATATTTGACAAGGCAAATGCCATGACAGACCCTCTTTTTTTTATAACCCAAAAGCCAGACCCTGGCAGACATAGTGATTCAGTAAAAACCCCTCCGACAAACGGGGAGCACCATATACTGTCATCCCTTCCCTCTCTCATGTACTTGCTCCCCTTTTTCACTCTCATCCACTCTTTCCTCTTCCCTCTTTCTCTCTCTTCTCCATCTACTTTCTGCTGCGCTTTGCAAATTGCAATGCGTTTCCCTTTAGTTTTTTCTCTGTTTTTTTTGTGTTTTTTCCATACGTTTCATATTCATGTCGAGGGGCGAGCGACAGCAGCGAAGCGAGTTCGTTGGCACGCCCCCGCGTTGCAACACCCCTCCTGCCAGGCACTGCCCCACTGCCACACCCCACAGTCCCACTATTTGCCACCGCAGCAGACATTGCGACGCGTCTCGTGTTTACAGTTGGGGGCACAAAATTATTGTGCGTCGATCCACAAAAAAAGCGGGGAAAAAAACAAACAGTGTTTGCAAATCTGTGAGAGGCAAGCTTTTCTAAAATCGAAGCTTTAGATACCCTGGAAGATGGATCGTTCAAAAAGAAAGAAATATTAATAGTGTTTTTCCATTAGCGAGCCGCGCGTCAGGCTGCAGCACTCCTCGGTCGGATGGTGCAGTCATTGCACGTCCGAACGTCTAAACAAAAAACTTGCGACCAAAGAAAATATATTTATATCAGAAATTGTGTAGCATTGAAATTTATGGGCGACTTGGGGACTGAAAACAGATGAAAGATGAATGGAAAATTCCTATGGGATGGTTTCTTCAGCTCCAAATACCAGAAACCCTCTTCAAAACTAGTGGAAAGGGTTTCTGCCTCGATAAGTGCCTCGACATTACGATAGCCAATACGATAAGATCTAATGACTCGGTATTTATGGCTTTTGGCTGTTACATCTATTAACTCAACATAAATATACCCCTCTAGCACTCTTTGAGTGCCGGGCTTATAAAAAGAAGAAGAAAGCTGTGCCAGCGCCTGTGCCTGTGTTGGAGGCCAATGCAATTTTCGAATTAGAAAAACCAACGAAAACATCCCAAACAACATCCAACCGCAGAGACAACAACATCCCACAATCACAATGGGGAATTTGCTGCAGAGGGGGGCGATGGGGGGAAAACAAGCTGCTGACATCAATTAGCATACGAGTAGATACACTCGTACACTCGTAGTATCTGTGGGATGGGATACACACTCGTAGTAGCATCTCGTAGTAGTGGCATTAAGTCAAAACAAAGTCTAGACAAACAACAAAACGACAGCCACAGCGCCACGAGCACAAAAGCGGTAGCCAAAGCGCCACCTAGCGGGCTTGACCTGCTGACCGATGTCTATATGCCTTTGTTGTTGTGGCTGTCGTTTGCTGCTGCTGATTGACTGTCGCACTTCGTTAAGACCTACCCGAGGCGCCCTCTCGAACAGTGGGTCGCAATGTGGGGAAACCTTTAAAGGAAATTTTAAGAAAATGTTGACAAAAATATCAAAGAAATTTCAAGAAAATATTGAAAACAAACTGGAAAGCAATTGTGGTTTTTTTTTGTCGAAGCACATAAGTTAAGGGATTTTTCTATGATATTTTAGAAAAACTAAAGAGTTCTGAAGAAATTCTCGTTAAAGTTACAAATATTTTCCATCAGTGGTGCCACTGTGCTTAAGACTTTCCCACCCTGTGGCAAAACATTGCGTGCGACAATCTCTCCGCCTTTCTGGCTTTCTGCCCGTATGGTTTCAGGGGTCTAGTTTTCCTGGCTCTTCCATCTACCTGCCCCGGCGTCGATTGGCAGTCGCTGATCAGAGGTAACGAACGGATCTTCTGCCCACGAGCTGATCACGCCGCCTGCTGCATGTCTGGGGCAAGGCTTTGGCGGCTTTTGTTTTTGTCTTTGGCTTCGTAAACGTGGCTTTCATTAGCAGCTTG